CTCTCCACTAATTTACCCCAATTTCATCTCGCTCCACTTATATGCCCCAATTTCATCCCCAATTTTATCCCGCTCCACTTATTTGCCCTAATTTCATCCCGCGCTCCACCGATCTGCCCAATTTCATCCCGCGCACCACTAATCTCGCCCCAATTTCATCCCGCTCCACCGATTTACCCCAATTTCATCTCGCGCTCCATTGATTTGCCCCAATTTCATCCTGTTCCACTAATCTGCCCCATTTCATCCCACGCTCCACCGGTCGCCTTCGTCTCTCCGTCCCCAATCCTCCAGGCCTTCGAGTAAATCCAACATGACAACCTCGAAACCCACCGAAACCCAACAGCGACATCGAACCCCAACCCTAACCCCAAACCTCGACGACCTTGAATCGAAGCGACTTGAAACCCTTAGCCTCCGTGAGCTTGAACCTAACCCCGCGACCTCGGTTCCAACCAAAACCCACGAAACTTCGTACTAGAACCCTAACCCCGACGAACTTGATGTTGTCGAGGCTACTATCAAGCAACGGGTACTCGCTTTCGAGCATGTGTTTCGTTATAAGTATGGTTCATTGGGTGGTTCTTGTTCATTATTTCAATACATACGATGTTTAATCATTAAGGTGTATTGCCATGCGGTTCAAGTTTCAATGCTTTGATTATGGCTTATTTAATTGTGTATTTGTGTTTATGTGTTACGCGACTTCTTCCATATCATTCCATATCACTTGTTTATGTACTAATTGCTTTCGTCATTACCGCTTTTTGAATCGAATTTTGTTTTACAAGAAGAAGGGACATAAATAGTGTAAATTTTTCCAATCCCTAAACATACACTCGGCAATATATTCTAATTTTATGGATATGAAGTTCAGAAAGCATAAGTGAATTTGAAAGTGAAATTTATTAAAATAAATATTAACCAACTCTATATCGACAAATTTGAATGGGAAGAAGGTCCTCGATTGGGAATGAACTTGAAGATTTTTCCTATATATGTTGATGGTAACAACTCTCATGTTTTCAATAAAAGTGAGGTTCTTCGGATCGGAGACTTGTTCATAGACTTTAATCTTCCAGGAAATGACTTCCTTGGACCTTATGAAATTGTAGACTTCATTCTCCTGGATCTCTGGTAAGTCACAAAAACTTCCATATAGTGTTTAGCGGAAGTTGGACACTAAACAATATAACATTGGTTGAATTCTCTTTAGGTGGTCAAATATTATAATATCAGTTTTAAGTTTCAGTCTTATTAATTGAATTCTCTACTATAGTTCATGTCTCATCTTTCAAAGTTTGATTAAAACTGTGAAACTAAATTTTGCTTTAATTCTATTAGTATTTGATGTGACTGCTCCAAACAGAGGGTAAACGTCATTTTGTCAGCATTTCTCTACTCATGATTGATTTTTGTCAAGGTTCTTCTACTGCAACGATCAATTATGCTTTTTGAATATTCAACGACGTGATTTCACGCGGATTTTTCTTTTGTATATATAATAAGTAAAGTCTTGGGATTACGTTAAATGTGGCAGATAGTTAATTAGATACTTATACATTCTCGCTTCACTAAAGAACACAGATCTGATGGAGTTGTGTGATTCACTTCATTCAAGCTTTAACTATTCACTTAATTTACGAGTATAACTTTAAAGATCAACTGAGATATTCAATACATGCATAAATTGCTTCAATTCACGAAGATAATTATTTCTCGCTAACGAAAGAAGTTTGATCTTCAAGAGCAAGAGTACTGCGTGGTTGTCTCAACAATCAATTCTTTTCCTATTTTTTTTATGGAACCCTGGAATACATTTAGGTGTGGAAAGAATGTACATTAGTTAGCTAAAATTTCATTGCATGGTGTTGTTTATGATGGAAGAGAAAAATAGTTATTACATTACCTATTGTCATGTCTTGACAAACTTCTTTTCTTTTATGGTGGAAATTGCATTTCTAAGTTTGTGTTTGTAACCATATTTTAGATAAAGTTGAATGGAAAACCCCTACCCCATCGAGTTGTTTCGCAAAACACATAAACGAAAGGATAACACCTGGGTGGATCAAAGATCAGCACATGTAGATGTAAGTTTCTTATTTTTCTTCTTATGTTAATTTCTTAAACAATTGTATCCTTTTTTATGTTTTTATCCAATTCACTACTATTCTATTTTAATGTTTATAGGCGAGTTTAGTCGTGCATGGGAAGAAGCCTCCCAATTAGGATCTATTGCACGAGGCTCTCGCTTCGATGAATTACGGGTTTGGTGTAAAGTTGCTTGGAATAAACAAAGGCAAAGTATATGGGCTTGGATCTGAGTCAAACAAAGCAATTGGGAGAAATCTTTGCCACGACTCTACTTCATCATCTCGTCCAACTTATGAGAGAGGAGATTGAACAATTAAAACACAAGTTAGAGGAAGTTGAGACTAAAAGGGATGATCTCCAGTGAAAGAATGTTAACTAATGAGAAACAAATTCAGAAAAATGATAAAATGTTGCTCCTCTTGATGGAGAAGATGGATGTTCAACCTCCTGAATTGTGAACTGATTCTATTTTGTATATTGTATTTTTTTTGTTAGTTTCGACATATTCGAATTATGACTCTTATTTTAGTTTATTTTACTTACTTTTAGATTGAATTTTCAATATGTAAGAAAGTATTTAATTAATGAATGACGAATTTATTTAGAACAAAATTTGTGATATTATTTTGAATGTTATCTTAGGTAGTGAAATTTTCATATATTTAATATCATATATAAATATATATATATATATAATATTTTATATTCCTTAATCGGGTTTATCATTATTTTACAAATAATATAAAAAAATTAAAATAAAATTAGTAATCGATATAGTGACCAGATTTAGTCATATATATTCGGTCACTAAATCGGTCACTAAATCGGTCATCTGAATCGGTCACTGAATCGGTGGATCGAATCGATCACTAAATCGGTCATCGATTCGGTCACTGATTCGATCACTAAATTGGTCATCGAATCGGTCACTAAATCGGTCACTAAATCGGTCACTAAATCGAGTCACTGATTCGATCATCGGTTCGGTCACTAAATCGGTCATCGAATCGGTCACTAAATCGGTCATTGATTCGGTCATCGATTCGGTCATCGAATCGGTCATCGATTCGGTCACTAAATCGGTCACTAAATAGTCACCAAAGAAATAGTGACTGATTCTAGTTGGTCACTATTTCGGTCACTATTTTAGTTAGTGACCAATTTTGGTCATTTAGTAACCGAATTTTCGGTCACTATTTAGTGTTTTTCTTGTAGTGTGATATAGTTAATTGCTAAACATTTCAAGTGTGTCTACAAAAAACTTTTCATCAATCACATGTGTACTGGAATTATTATAATCGTGCTTATTAGTTTTTAAATAATTAACTTAGTTAAAATTGATATCAATGTGATAAGTAACAAGATAACTTTGAATGTGGGTACTACGTCATGCATTGAATGTTAGAAATGGTAGATCTTCTTAAGAAATGAGGGGGTCGTGGCTCCTCAAAGTTTTGTAAATCCCATGTAATTTATGATTTTGATCCCCAAAACTCAATGATCATTTAATATATTTACTTGTATATTTACAATTTTATCCTCTTATCACTCCTAACTCTCATATAATTTATGATTTTATTCCCTCAAACTTAAGGATCATTTAATATATTTATTTATACATTTACAATTTTATCCTCTCACTCTTTCATCTTCTTTTACTATTTTATATTTATTTATTATTTATTAATAATATATTATTTGTCCCCCCCAAAATTAATGGTCAAGATCCACTACTGAATGTCAATCATAACTTATGTTAGTATTATGGATTCTCTAGACCAAGTGACAACATACTTTATTTTTTTTAAGTGTTGGGTTCTTTAAGAACTCATGTAGAAAGTCCAATGTAAAAAGTAGATTTTGTACTAGTGCATATAAGAAAATATGACATCACCTTCAACCTAAAATTTTAAGTCATTAATTTATGGGTATTTCTCACTTATAAGTTACTCAAATTTCCCATTTCTATCTAATGTGGGAATTTCAACAAAAGAATCCATAATTTATGATCTTTCACCTACTCTGAAATGTACTTAAACGAGTCGATTATCAGGCGAACATTGGGTTTGATACCACTGTTGGGTATTTTTAACCCATTTCTATCCAATGTGGGACTTTCAACACAAGAATCCACAATTTATATCTTTCACCTACTTTGAAATGTACTTAACCGAATCAGGCGAACATTGGGTTTGATACCACTGTTGGGTATTTTTAACTCATGTATATCCAATGTGGGACTTTCGACACAAGAATCCACAATTTATATCTTTCACCTACACTAAAATGTACTTAACCGAGTCGATCATCAGGTGAACATTGGGTTTGATACCACTGTTGGGTATTTTTAACGAGGTTAAAAATAGAGAGATTCTCATAAAGTGGGATACAAGTCAATCATATAAGAGAATATGACATCATTTTCAACCCAAAACCTTAAGGCATTAGGTTATGAGTCTTTCTCACTTATAAGTTACTCAACTTTCTTCTTTTTATCTAATGTGAGACTTTAACTCACATTTGAATTTTAAACATCAAGTAAGTCTTCTTGTGGTTTAAACTATGCTACTATAACAAAATACTAACATTTATTATACATAATATAACTTTTTTCCATCTATGAGACATTAGACACATCAAAAAAAGGATATTACCTAGTATGAGTGAGCAAAGTATTTTTGCACATTAGACATTATTAATAGTTGATGTGAACTTAGATTCCATTTAAATTTAAAATGGATGAATTTATTTGTTAATAGAATTTTACATGTTGAACTTTATAATTTTATAATTAATTTAGGTGGATATATATATATATATATATATATATATATTATATTTATTTATATTTATATTTAGAGAGAAATATATAATAAATTAAAAAATTATTAAAAAAATAATACTACGTTGGTTAGGGTTTATAACAATAATATATATGAACTTTCCACGTCCAAGAGTGGACATATCACATTGGTCTATAACAAATTTTCAACTATGGGAAATATTTTACTTTGTAACAAATATATGCATATGATATATATCATAATTACCATATTACTTGTATTAATTTACTATACAACAAATGAGATTACTAACTTAATTTATTTATTATAGAACAATGTACCATTCAATCATATTATAAGATTTAATACCTAATTTGAGATTTCATTCTTTCTATAACTTTATAAGGTTTAACTAACTCAAGATTAAGTTACTATTATAATGTTATAAGATTTAGTTAATACTATAATATTAATAACTAACTCGAAATTCAATTATTACTATATCGTTATAATATTAAGTTATTACTACAATATTATAAGATTTGATAACTATTTTAAGATTTAGTTATTATTATGATATTATACAAATAAGTTATTATTATGATATTAGAATAGTCAATTATTACTACAAAATTATAAGATTTATAACTATCTTAAAATTTAGTTGTCATTATAACATTATACGAGTTAATTGTTACTATAAAATTATAAGATTTAGTTTTTATTATGATATTATACCAATTATTATTATAAAGTTATAAAATTTGATAGTTAATTTGATATTTAATGATTATTACAATGTGTGTAAGATTTTGTTTTTTTAATAATATTATAAGATTCAATAACTAATTTGATATTTAGGAATTATTGTAAAATTTGATATTTGATTATTAAAGACATTTTGAAAGTGAATATACCACATTAATTATAATCAATTTTACTTTATATATATATATATATATATATATATATATATATATATATATATATATATATATATATATATATACCATTAGCTACATGGTTGAATGGTTAAAACGCTCATCTTATCATTGACGAATTCGTAGGTTCAATTCCTACTTGGATGCATGTCAATGGGACCCTCCCTCCAAAGAGTCCATCATATTCCTCGATATGATGAATTATGAATTGAACCCAGATTTTTGAACTCTAATAGACCTATCAGTAGGATTCAAATCCAGATGAAGTTGACAATGGAATCTCATTATCCATACATGATGAAGTTCGACCATTTGTCAAAGAAAAAGAGCAGTGATTACGTATTAATGGAACCCGGATGAAGTTCGACTGGTGGCGGATCTTCTTGGGAGTTGAGGGTCGTGGTCCCTCCAAAGTTTTGTAACTCTCATGTAATTTATGATTTTGACATCCCAAACTTAATAAACATTTAATATATTTACAATTTTATCCTCTCAATATCTTGCTCAGTTTTGTAATTTTCATATAATTTATGATTTTGTCCCCCTCGAACTTAATGATCATTTAATATATTTAAGTATATATCTATAATTTTATCCTTTCACCCTTTCATCTTCTTTTTTCTTTTATATTTATTTATTATTTATTAATAATATATTATTTGGCCCCTCAAGATTAATGGTCAAGATCTGCCACTGGTTCTGACATCTTCTTTAATGTCAAAGTAAGAATTATGAATAGTCATCAACTCCCAGTAAAGGATAAAAGAGTACGACCTATTATGGGACATACAATGCATTACACATGCATGATCATTATGCTTCAACCAGATTATTATATTCCACCTCTTAGAAAGAAAAGAACTTAAATCAAAATACTTAATAGCATGACGATACATTTATAAAAATCATTTGATCTATGGACAACATCATTGTGGTAAAGGTCGTAATGCCAGAGGAATAATTATTGTAGGGCATAGAGGGGGAGGTCATAAACGTCTATACCGTAAAATTGATTTTCGAGGGAATGAAAAAAACATATATGGTAGAATTGTAACCACAGAATATGATCATAATCGAAATGCATCCATTTGTCTCATACACTATGGGGATGGTGAGAAAAAAATATATTTTACACCCCAGAGGAACTAAAAATGGGAAATGTCCTACCTTTGAGTGTGATTTGAACTATTTTATGTAATTGGAAGTAACCAACTAGGTTTACAACGAAACCTAGAAATTGATCACTGATCCAATTGGAGTACATCTACAAGATAGACCTCAACAAAAAACTGAAGAGTAACGACAACAAGTAATTGAGTTCAGTAGTTCCTCATATCAAATTATTGACTTTAGAGATATAGTAATATGGAGAAGACAAAATTGTTTCAAGCATCGACAGAACCAGAAGCACCCTTTGTTTCAAACAGGGAAGGGCGGGTTATTCTCATTTCATTTGATAGTCAGAGGCGAATGGAAAGCTAAGTTGTGGTAATTCTAAGGATTCCCCTGGGAAAAAGAGATGCCTCCTATGTTACCCATACCATGTGGAAGTAGCGATGTAATTTTATAGAGTCATTTAGTCTAAATGCTACATAAAGAACATAAACCAAATAAAGGAACGAGAAGACTTAGGATGTAGAAGAAGATCATAACATGAGCGACAGGGATTCCTATATACCTACTCGTGTCGTACTTCATTGTGTGATATATATAAGATCCATCTATATAGATATTATCAGTTACATCCACAAGATATATATATATATATATATATATATATATAAGATCCATCTATATAGATATTATCAGTTACATCCACAAAGTCGTATGTTTTGTAAGAAACTTGTACAATTTGGGAAGAGGTTTTGATTGATAAAAAAGAAGAATATACTTCAACTAATATGTCCTTAGGCATGACCATACATAACATAAAAATCACACTCGGAAAAGGTGGACAATTAGCTAGAGCAGCTAGTGCTGTAATGAAACTAATTACAAAAGAGGGGAAATCAACCACATTAAAATTATCTTCTAGGGAGGTTTGTTTGATACCCAAAAACTACTTGGCAACAGTCGGACAAGTGGGAAATGTTAGGGTAAACTAGAAAAATTTAGGTAGAGTCGAGTCTAAATGTTGGCTAGGTAAGCGTCCTATAGTAAGAGGAGTAGTTATGAACCTTGTAGACCATCTGCATGAGGTGGTGAAGAGTGGACCCTAATTGGTAGAAGAAAAACCCGCAACTCCTTGGGGTTTTCGTGCACTTGGAAGAAGAAGTAGAAAAAGGAAGAAATATAGTGATAATTTGATTCTTCGTTGTACTAAGTAGTACAGTAGAGAAAATAGAAATTTTTTGTTCGTCTTTATAAGAAAAATGAGTAATTAACTGTGACACGTTTACTAAATAAAATCCTTTTGTAGCAAATTATTTATTAAGAAAAATAAATAAGTTTAACACAAAAGCGGAAAAAGATATAATAATAACTTTGTCCAGAGCATCTACCGTTATACCTACAATGATTGGTTCATATCATCGCTATCCATAATGGAAAAGAATATTTACTTATTTATATAACAGATCATATGGTAGGTCATAAATTAGGAGAATTTTTTACCTACTCTAAACTTCATAGGACATGCAAAAAAAATGATAATAGATATCGTCATTAACTTGCATTTTAACATCAATTTTTAAATAGTAATGTATAAATAAATATTACAAAATTAAATTATTATTCAAATTAAATTAAGTTCAAATTATTTCTTTTAGAATTCATTAAATAATTCATAATAATAATCAAATTATTTTTTAATTAATAATTAAATAAATGAAATATTTTCTTTCATTTATTTGACTCTTATGATAAAGAAGAATCCGTCTCCCTCTCCCTCTCCTTCTCCCTCTCTCTCTCTATATATATACATACTAAATATAACAAATAAAATGACTACATGTTTGATTGGTTATTATAATATTATAAGATTCGATATTTAATATAACATTAATATTGTAGTCTTATAAATAGAAACTTGTGAATTCATGAGTATACTATGAAGTTACAAAGGTCATACTCATAAACCAATTCTCCAAGGCGAAATAGACGTAAGGAAAAAGTAATAGACTAGACCAATCCACAAAAATAAATCAGTCTCTATACAATCAGTCATCCATAATAATAAATAAATCATTTTTATCTTTAATAAATTTATCAAGAGCTATAGTTATAATGATCCTTCTATTCAACTACTTCAATCATTTTCTAACACCTCATAAAATATGTTCATGAATGGGACAAACCATTATCATTTCTCTCAATATAAAGGATTTTATAATATAATTTTCTTGTTTTCTAATTGGTTTCGAATAAAAATCACTTATAATCTATTAATATTTAGGTAAATCCAAGTAATTATTCCTTTCTAATATGACAAATCTCCCAATCATAAATCATAGAATATCTAATAATTCCAAAATTTAACATATTTTTTTTAAGAACCAGAAATAAATAATCCCAACAATGTTATAATATTTGATAATTAACTCAAAATTATGTACTACTATAATAAATTATTATTATTATTACACGATTATAATAAAATTTTACTATTATAATATCATAAAATACTATGTAATAATGTATATTCATCTAGTTAAAAAAAAAGATAATCCTTGTGTCAATTAATAATATATTTATATTTATATTTTTTAAAATAATTAATGAAAATATATTTGTAAATATGTCATTAATTTATTTTTAAAAATTTATTATTTAATAAAGTTTAATTTTTTTTAAAATTATTAGTTTACAGTTGGATTTGAAACTTATTTTAAAAACAGGTTGATTCCTGAAAATAATTTTGATTTTTGTAAATTTTTAGAAATGATATTTTCTAGTGTAAAGATTTCTTAAAAATGTATTAACATTAAATCTCCAAGTGAGAATTAATTCTGTTCAACTTAGCTTTGAATTTAACGAGGTAAACTGATAGATAAAATATATTTATTCTCAAAATTAATAAAATTAATTTGAAGTCATTAAAAAACACAGAAGTTATAATAAATATTAGTAATAGTAGGACATGTGTCTAAAATTTTACAGAATTTAATATTTAATTATATCTCATTAAATATTTAATGATATTAATAATTGTTTTAATTCCTACCTATGGACCTCTCTGGCGTTCTAATTTCGCAAAAGTCAGGTTCAGACTTCAAACGGTTTACAATTACTGTCCCTTCTTGTCACTCATTATATCTTCTCTCTCTCTGCTCTGTTCTTTCTTCTTCCTCTGTTTCACCCTCCATTTTCCTCTCTCTCTCTCAATAAATTCTTTCTCTCTAGAATTTTCTGTCCTCCAGCCGTGCATTTCTGTCCCTTCTAAAAGCCCCACTAGTCTCCTCTTCACAGGGCCTAGATACAAACTCTTCACTTCTCTTCCAATTTCAAACACACTCACCCAACTCCTCCCTCCTTCTTTTTCTGCTCGTTCTAGGAGCTGCTACAGTATACTAAGGTAAAGGTCGAAACAGTGTACCCTTTTGTTCAATCTCTCTTTCTTATACACTTTTACCATGCCTGTTCTTTGAAACCAAACCAGTGATTTCTGGGGCAGGCTGAAAAGAGTGTTTTTATTGTCTTGTGAGGGAAAAGGTTTAATCTTTGAACGTTTTTTTTTTCTCTCTCTCTATATATCGAGTTTTGTTGAAGACGCGTTTTGATGATCCTGTTTATTTTTCTTTTGTTGCTTTGGGTTGGTTGTTGTTAGTGATGCTCATTGTTCTGCCTCATTCGGGTGTGTTGTTGTTTTTCGAGTTTGGAGGAAGGTCCCTTTGATTTTTGTTGTATTTGCTTTTGATTGTTGATGGTTTCTGGTTACAGGGTGTTTCTTTTCAGGGTCGCACTTGGAGTTACAGAACAACACCAAATAATAATAATAATAATAATAATAATAATAATAATAATAATAATAATAACAACAATAAATAATAATAATAATAACATATTTAATTGTTGTGTCTGTTTTCTTGAGATTTACATTACGCAATGACGAGAAGTTGACATCTTCGTTCACCCTGAATTTCTCGCGATATTTCTCAAGGTACGATTAATTTCTACTTTTTTACACAATCTATATCCAATTAATGCTTTTTTTTATTTACTCTAAAATTGTTTGTTGTCGATTATTATTTTGAAAAAAAAATAAAGTTGGTGACAATGTGTATCCATTAGTGGAAAAAAAAGCCGTGACTAAGGAGAAAGAAAGGGTATAAGAATGCTTCATTTATTCGTACTTATTAGTTGCTTCTTGTCTGCATTGAACCCATTGATTGCTCTCATGTTAACGCATGATTTCTGGCAGCGTTTATTATGACTTTTGGGGTGTTCTAATGGAGGTGAAGGGGGGTTTGGTACTTGTGAAGTTCCAAATTCAATTTTGAAATTTGAGTCACCAATTCTTGTTTTGTGTTTTTTTGGAAGGTAAAATATGGATTTTCTAGACCATAAAGAATCTCACCTTGTAATATTTTTACCTTTTTTAATGATAGGCATGTGAACTTCTGACATAGTGGATGATGAAATGACATTAACTTTGGAAAGATATCAGTGTGTGTCACAGTAACTTCTCTGTCCCAAAAATATTTTGCTCATCATTTTTTCTTGTCATATCCATTATTTTGGTTCCCCTTTTTCTCCTTCTTTTGCTTTTCAATAATAATAATACCATCTTTTGTCTGAGAAACGTTACGTTTTATTTATGTCACCTTAAAAAACAACAATTAAGTTGTGGTAATATTGTTCATCAGCTTTTAAATTTTTTCCGTTTTGGTACCTAGTGCAAGTGATCAGAGAGACCCTGGTTTTAGTCACGAGAAATGTAAATTATGTACAATCATATCGTTGTCTATTTGCCTGAATTATTATTGTCTTTATTTGTTCTATATAATATGTATAATTTCTAGAAACGTGTACACTTTGAGTATGAATGCAAACAGTAAAAAATGACTGGATTTTTATTTGTGTAAATAAATATAACTAAAAAACAAATATGAGTTTTTTCTTCATTTGGGGATTTTTTTTTTTTTAAGAAAATAGTATTTTGTGAAAACATTCCATTATCGTGTTTTCTTTTCATTTTCTTTTTGCCTTGAACTTTTGCCGGCCTACAAAACACGACTACTGTTGGGGGATATTAATGTCTTAACTACCATATGTTGGGTGATAAATTCCATAGGATAGGTTATGTTTTTTACATGGACCAAACTTTGCAGGAACAACTAAAATTTGAAAAATTTAGTGACTGGATTTAGTCATATATTACTTTCCATCACCAACTTTGGGGTTGCAAAATTTTTGGTGATGAGATTTATTTTAATTTTACTCATAATGAGGTGTTTGGTTTTAAGGGAAAAGTGTAATTTGTTAATTTCACTCATTTTCCGTTTCCTGACACATACCTTTTGTAAACAAACATTTTTCATTTGTCATGATGGTAAAGTTAGATATACCATATCAGACATATTCACTTTCATATGGGTTCTGCTGTTAACACTGTTTGCCAAGTACTGTCTTACTACAGGGCTAGATAAAGGTGTTGGATATGCAGAACTCAGGGAATCCTAAGGATTATGAATCAGGCCAACACACATTTTTTAATAAAAACTATCTGTATGTTTTTTTGTAGGGGTTACATTGGGAGTCACAGTTCAACCATGATCTACCTAGATCTAATGATTACCCTACAATCTGTAATTTACCATAATTTATAATCTGATTTTACCATTCTTTTTCTAAAATATAGGAAGTAAATGAAATCAGGGTTGATGGTGACCTTCTTTAATCATCATGTCTTATTTAATAATTCATACTAAAGAAACTAATTCATAGAAAAAGGTGTGATTGGGTGATGGGTCTAGTTCTTACGCTCCTTGAAGCGAAATTAGGATGAACTATAAAGTGTTTGTAGAAATGATGAGCTTGGTTTCTTGCTGGGAAGTGGTGGTGTTAAATCAAGGCTTAAAGTTTTCCTTTTTATGCTATAAAATAACATGGTTTTTTCTGTCTTTATTTTTAATTATTAATCACTGCATCTTGGTACGTAAGACCTTGGTTTTGTGTTAAGAATCATGTTGGTAGTTGCTAGGATGGACAAGAGGCCTAGTATTGCGTGGATAAACTACAATTTTGAGCTTTTAAACGTAACTTTAGATCTTGTCCTTCGGTTTCTATTCTCTTGAAGCCGTGTGTGTTAGAAATTGCTTTTTGACACTGTTTAAATTGTGCATAAAATTGAAATATTAGTGGATGAAGTAGTACAAAAAGAAAAATTCCCTCCTCTACTAAAGGTCCTCGATCTATGTGTTAAAGCATTGAACTTTTTTTTTTTGTCAATAGCTTTTGCTTGCTTGAACATGCTCATCATGATCACCATCGTGTTATAAGACCTTATTTTATTGTCCTCGTGAGACCTTTAAGATATTGTTGCCACTTTGCATATATTTCACTAATCACAATTGTGATCTGCGTTGGTGATTTTTTGGTGACTGCTTCTGCAGATGGAATCGGTGAAGCCAGTGGCCTTGACCCCGCGAAAGAAGCTGGCGCGCAGTTTTGCCAAGGTTCTTCATGTCAAAGCACTGATTGGGATTGCCTCAGTTGATGGGTTGAAGAATGTTATATCTGATGCAAATCTCAAGGATGAAGGGAACATGGAGAAGAGTAAGAGTTCACTGAATTGGTCTGATTCTTTCAACGAAGATGATGATGATGAGGAGCTTCAGGAGAAAATGGCCAATGAAGCTCTTCTAGCAAAGCTTTTTGCTAGCATTTCAACTGTTAAAGGTGCATATGCCGAGTTGCAATATTCCCAGTCACCTTTTGACCCTGATGGAATTGAAGCTGCTGATCAATTGCTAGTGTCTGAGTTGAAGAACTTGTCTGAGCTCAAGCAATGTTACTTGAAGAAACAGTTTGATCCTTCGCCTGAGACGGCAATTCTTGAGGCTGAATTCAAGGAGCTGCAGGGTGTGATCAAAACGTATGAGGTCATGGGGAAGAAGCTAGAGTCACAGGTGCGGCTCAAGGATTCTGAGATTGTTTTTCTCAAGGAGAAGTTAGAGGAAGCTAATAGGCATAACAAGGCAATTGAGAAGAGATTAAATCAAAGCGGTCAACTAGGTGTGCTTGATAATCTTCACATATCAGGGTTAAGTCCTAGCCATTTTATCACAGTTCTTCGTCACGCAGTTAGGTCTGTTCGCAACTTCGTGAGGGTGATTGTGGACGAGATGAGATCTGCAGGTTGGGATGTGGATGCGGCAGTCGATGCCATTGAGCAGAATGTGGTTTACTTGGCAGAAGATCACAAGTGTTTCGCAATAGAGGCCTTTGTTTGCAGGGAGATGTTTGATGCTTTCCACTTCCCTAACTTTTCCCTGTCAAGTGAGTCTCTCCCTGATAGAAGCAGGAGGCAACAGTGGTTCTTTGGGAGGTTCAATGAGATGAAATCCATGAAAGCAAAGGACTTCCTTGCTGGGAAGCCAAGATCATCATTTGCAAAGTTTTGCCGGGTGAAGTACTTGAAACTTGTTCATCCCAAGATGGAGTCATCATTTTTTGGTAACATGAATCACAGGAACCTTGTGAATGCTGGAGAGTTTCCAGACACTCCATTCTTCACATCATTTGCTGAGATGGCCAAGAGGGTGTGGCTTCTACACTGCCTGGCCTTCTCTTTTGAGCCCCAGGCCTCAATCTTCCAAGTGGGAAAAGGGTGTAGATTCTCTGATGTGTACATGGAAAGTGTGAATGATGAAATCTTCCTCTATTCAGAAGTGGAATCAGATCCACAAGTTGCTTTCACAGTAGTTCCAGGGTTTAGGATTGGTAAAACTGTTATCCAGTGTCAAGTGTACCTCTCACAGCACCAGAGCAAGGTAAAAAAACTCACTTCCACAAAGCAAAGGTAGCAGCACCAAGCACAGGTGACCCCACAACACAGGGTTATTGAACTGGAAGGCATTCTTTATTTTTCTCAGTAAACTTTTTGGAGGGAAATGAAGGACTTGTGGGGACTGACTTCTGGCTAGGAGGGGCAACTTTGTCCTTTTGTATTTTGGCCATTTTGAAAAGAAAAGCCATTGGACCGTTGCATTGGGAACAACCCATTTCTTTAGAATCTTGTTTTAATTTATGCCAGATTTATCAAAGACATCCCCAAATTTTTATTATCAGGCCAATGACAGGGATTGTCTAGCTGTTATGCATCTTTACTAGACATTGCATTTTATAATATGTACATAATGATATATAGGTGGGGATTTTATAATCCTCTTTTCCTTTTTTAATTAATCTTTGTTCTGCCAATTCCCCCATTTTTGACCCTGCCAACTTCATTTTCTAATTCAACTTGGGGTGGCTCTACATGCCTCCAAATCTTTTTGTTGTCAATTTAGCCATTAATTATTCCTTCATTCCTCTTACAAAATGCTCCTTGTCCTGGTTAAACTTGAAGAAAAACTAATAAACAAAAGGCCTAACCCCCCTATTAATGTGCTTAACTAATTCTTTGGGACTGCTCTTGATGTTGTTGTACAATGCACATAGGGTGTGTAAATGTATTGAAGGCCAATGGGGCCCCCACAAAATGCCAACTTTATTCAACGAAGTCGGTGTTGAAGGGGCATGTGAAGACAATATTTGCAAACCTTTCTATGTCAATGTCCCCAATAAAGGAGATGTGATTCTCGTTGATAGATTTGTATATATGCATCTTCGTGTAATGCTTCCCAACCGTCACAAATATCTATCCATGCTATCTGCTAATGCAAGAGATTTTGTGTTATATTGGGCTGTGATTCACATGGTGTAGTAGAAGTGTGGAAAGTGGGTGAGGACCATATGGATCTTTAAGGGCTATTCATGTCTTCAAAATCTTGGAAAGGTATATCATCTTTTACCGGAAAACAATTGAGGGTCAAACTTTTTATCCTTTCATCACTTGGTAGTGTTTGGTACATGTGGCAAGGGTCGAAGAAGGGTAGGTTTAGGTGAAGTGAATTCTATGTTTTTCTGTTTCACTGTGTGAAGTTTTTAGGATTGTTATTCTCTTTAGTTTTCAGCACTCATTTGTTGATCTATTGAAGAAAAGAAAGAGTTACATTCTGTTTTGTTTTGTTTTTTTTTTCCCTCTTTTGTGATGAGTACTATCAACTTGGCATCATTTTCACATTTCATCAGGGCATTGAATATAGGTTTTACTTTGGTGTGACAGGACAGGTTCTTTGTAACTGACAAAATAAAAAGTTAGGCAGACATAAAGATTGTTGAATAATGTTACAATTAAAAAAAAATGATTTTTATGGGTACACATGATTTTTAACTTTATAATGGTTGTGTATAGGTACGGTGGAGTTTAAGGACAAAAAAAAGTGAGATCACTAGGCATTTCCAATTGAACCAATTATTGATGAAGGGAGTGATAAGTTCCATATTGATTATGGGCCTTGTGACTTTCGGAAATAAGGTATGGGCTCCCTTAAAAAAGGTTAAGGGGTTTCAAAACCCTACTCTTTTGTCTGTATTTTTATTTCTTCTAGGGTTTACTTCCTTTCTTACTTTTAAATAATGTTATTTTTAAATTGAGAAAATTTTACAAAAATATATACTTATTAATGTTATTTTGAAATTTTAATATGATAAATAAAAATAATAGTTTTTAATATAAATACTAAAGGGCCTAGCAGACAGGCCTAGTGAATTTCAATCTGGACCACATAAACATTATGATGGTAGTGATTGTAGGAGAGCTACTCTTAAATTTTTATTTTTATTTTTATTTTTCATCTTTTTATATTCTAGCAATTAGTTTTTGGAATGTATAAAACAATTTCACAAACTAATTTTCTGAAAGAGAAGTGTAAAGGGTAAAATAGAAGAGCTAATGCAACATACATTCTCTTTGGGCTTATATTGGGTTTGATTCTTTTTTCCTCTTTAACCAAAATAAAACTTGTTATCTAAAAAGGACAATGCTTTTGTAGGATGAAACTTTCGTTTTTATACCAAAGCAGGATTAGAATAAATACAGTAGTGAATTTGAGAAAATAGAGTTTGAATTAATTATTATTATTATTATTATTATTATTATTATTATTATTATTATTATTTACAACCTGAACTAAATTAACCAGGTAAAAAATACCAAGAGTGAAGTAGGTTCGAATCAATCAAATATAATTTATAACAATTTGTAAAGTTTTGTTTTAAGAAGAAAAAAACGTTATTTTCTTAAAAAACATTCACACATAATACAAATACAAATAATATTTTTATTTTAATTGATTTACATCAACTAAATTGTAAAAATTACACTTTATATAATGAATTAATAATTATGTTATAAAATTTCATGTACAATAATAATTAATAGTAAATTATACTCCACCTGTTTAAAAGTATTTAAAGTAATGGTAGAAAAATTTGTTTCAAAGTTTATGATTACTCTTTTACCAATTATATCTTTATTTTTTAATTATATTTATTATGAAAGAATGAGATAACAAATATCTTAAAGAGTATTATAGTTAGAAAATGAATATTAAAATGCAAGAATATTAATGAAAAAAATTAATAAATTTATTAAAAATAATAAAAATTAATATTTATGTTAGTCTATATAGTATAATCTTAAATTTCATATATTTTAAAATAGAGGAGATAATTAACTTGCATTAACTAAATAATAACATTACCTAAATATAAAAAATTAATCATTAAATTATAAAATAGTTTATAATAAATAGGATGATAAAATAAGTCCCTTCCAATTTTCCTAAAAATGATAGGATGGGTTGATAGTTTTAGTCTATCGATCCATTTTCGCTTGTTTCGTGTAGCCTGCTAACCCATTGGACTTAGGGTAGGATAAGACGGGTTGACCCGTTTTAAAAGAATATGTATATATGGTCGTTGCTTCCTGCACCCCCACAATTATATTAAACTCCATTTTATCTTTACACTTATCTTCATCTTCAGAATGCATTCCGAAAAAACTTTCCAGGAACACATTCCGGAAGACTCAATGGAATGCATTTCAAGAAAGGTTTTTCCAAAAATACATTCTAGAACACCCAATCTAGAATGTGTTTTTGGAATGAATTTTCTGGAAACGTATTCTGGAATGCATTTTTGAAAAGCTAATAAGAAAATACATTTCAGATTGGGTGTTCCGGAATGTGTTTTCATAAAGGCTTTTCTGGAAAAACATTTCCAACACCCAATTCGAGATGTGTTTTCAGAAAAAACTTTTCTGGAATGCGTTTTTTCTGAAAAGTCAATCCGAAAATGCCTTTTAAATTAGGTGTTCCGGAATGTGTTTTCAGAAAGGTCAATCCGGAATACATTTTCGGATTGGCTTTTCTAGAAACACATTTTGGAACACTCAATCTGAAATGCATTTTTAATTGACTTTTTAAGAATTCAACCTCATTTTGGCAACATTGTTTCAAATTGAGCAATTTGAGTATATTTGTGCAATTTGAGTGCAGATACATGTAATTCATACATAATATTACTAATTACTTATCTTTAATTGCTAGAAAATGCCTTCAATAAGAGTGATAGCACACAAAAAAATCAAATAGCCAAAGGATGAAGTTGCAAAAATTGTAGACAAATAGGAGAAGAATGAAAAGTAAGGGGAAAAAACAAAATTATAAGAAGGGTATTTTAAGTATTTGACTTGGGATAAAAAGGTACAAGAAAAAGCTATGGAGATGCAGGAAGCAAGAACCTTTTTATATTAAAATAAAAAAAATTATAAATATTAACTAAGTAAGTTTAAATTATTAATTATAATTAATTTTTTAATACATAAATATAATAATTTTTTTAATAAAAATATTAATTATATATAAAATTTAAAAATTATTCATATAATTAAATGTATATTTTAAAAATATATATATATATATATATATATATATATATATATATATATAAATATTTATATACTGATCCTCTCATGATTTCACTTTTTGACTTGATGGACTATGATTTCCAACTCATTTTGACTATGAGGGTATGTTATGTCCAAATCTATTTTTATCAACAAGAGACTAGACAGAAGAAAAACATATCCATGTTAATATCCCTCATAATAAATATTACTAATTTAGTTTGAATTCGTCAATTTTATAAATCATAAATTTCAAGTAACAATCATAGTTAGATTTGATTGGTTGACTTTTTATTAGATTAGATTAAAATTTCAATTCAATTTTATTACTAATTTGACTGGTTGGGTTTTTAATAGATTTAATTAAATTAAAATTTCAAATCAATTTAATTGAATTATTTTTACATTTTTGATTTGATGGGATTATTGAGAGTAAATGGTTTAGTTTGAAACTTCAACAAAATAACTTAAAATCCTCATTTTTAAGGTTTTTTCTTTCGTTGTTTCCGAAACTAGGGTGAAACAATATGATGGGCGAAATTTAAAGTGTCATAATAGGCCCATTTTAATAAATCTCCTGACTGAACATCAAAATGGGCCTAATTCACTTGTAAGAGCCCAAAAAGCTTGAGTCAAACACTAAAATGTTTTGTTTCAATTTAATAATATTTCAAAATGGTTTGAGTTACCATTTTAAAAATTAGTGGATACAGAACTTAACCTTATAAAAATAACTCCATAAAATGATGATTATATATTTTTATATAATATAATATTATCATATTTTTAATTTAAATGATATTTTAATATTTATATTAAATTTAAAGAAATAGATTATATTTTTAATAATATTTTGGACCTTTTATTTTTAAAGTTATTTTGAAAAACTAACACAAACATGATTTTTTTTAAAAGCTTATATTGTATCAGTAAATTAGTCATAATATGTTAATTTTTGTTAACCGATATTCGAATCCACAATTAAAAGTGGACGTGAAAGCAACTAAATCTAAAATTTCATCGGAAAATAGATGAAGCATTCTTTTGTAAGCATGGAAAAGTACATAATATCATTACCCTATTTTCATATAACTTGTTCGTAATGTTTGGATAGTGGTTTGAGCTCCTCCAACATACTTTTTCAACAATAAAATTGACATGAATTTGAATAAAAAATAACATGAGTTGAGTTTAAAAAATCATTTCTAAATTTATAAATAAATGAAAATTCTCTTAAATCTCTCCCTTCAATCTTCATCATTCATTATCCATATTTTTATAATCTTATAGGACAATTATACTAAAAAAAATAACCTTATATTTAAGAAAGTTTTAAAACATGTTCTTTAGATGATAACTACAGAACCCAACTATCTGAAGTCAACAACTATTCTTATAAATTAATTGATGGACTCTAAACTTGCTAACTCATCCTAAAAATCACTTAATTTTTTTATTCTCTGAATAAAGATTATGACATATTTAAAAAAAAGTTTTATTTTTAAATTCTACTGAAATGATTTTCACATTTATCTTAGTGGAGACAATAATTAAAAAAGATCATCAATTTTTAACAATAAAAGAAATGACTAAAAATTATCTTAGATGTCACCATCAATTAAAATTATTTCTAATTTGAATTATCCAAACAAATTTTATATTGTCAATATATTTTCGAACAAGAATTCTATAAACACAAACCATATCATAGTAAACTAATTTTTTGGTTTTTATCTTCCTTGAGTTTATAGCTTATTTGTTTTACTAAAACAAACATGAAACCAACCATACACTTATATTAATTTGTTTTGATGTGTTGTATGCTGCAATTAGACAACATAAAAAGAGATGTATATATCCAGACAACATAAACAATTTCATAACTTTAAGGTTACAAATGCACATAGTACAAAGTGTAACATAGAGAAGAGGGGCAATATCATAACTTTAGGGTTACAAAGAAACAAGATCCTTTTTTTGTCATTGGTGATTTGATGCACAAGTAGAGTTGCATAGTTATGGGGTATCAAGAGGACTAACATATCAATCACTTCATTCACTTGTGTCCTTCTCCAGGGCTGGGATTAGAAACCACTTCTTCATTGGCAAAATGATAAACTTTTCCTCTACCACTTTTGACATAACTAGTGGCCTCAATTGTAGGAGGGGTACCCTTCAAAGAGAGCACTAGTGGTGCGTCAATTTTGAGAATCTTTCGGGCATCCAAGAGTGAGGAATGGCATACCAAAAGAAGTAGAGTGATGAGTATAAGAGGGTTTATGCGAGCCATTTGGAGCACTGATATGATATGTAAGGAAATGTGTATATCAAAGTGTTTGTGACTTTGTGTCTTCTTCGTGTTTTGTTGTTGAAAGAATGGCATGTGCATGCTATTTATATGGTTTGGATGTTCCTATTGAGTGAGTTCCTTTGTGCATGCCAGAGGGGAAAGACACGACACAACACTTTGACAATTGGAGTCATTTGTTTACGGTTTCATTAAACTTTGTTCTCTTTCTTTCTTTAAACTCAAAAGAAACACCAGAAAAAAAAACTTGATGTGACACTAATTCCTATTTATGCAGGTTTAAATATTTGAAAAAGTGGATGAGTGAGACGTGAGGGTTACGCTAGTAGTAAAAGAATTCCATGAGTGTGGCAAATAAGACAGAGGCACGAATTTTTGAGATTTTTAAAATATAGAAAAATAATTTGATGGTAAGAATGTATTGTAATTAAGAAATGTTTAACTTGTTTTTTTATTTGGAAAATCATTGCACTAGTTTAGTGTTTGATTTGGTTTAGTTTGTTCAATTACATGATCAATTTGAACCGAATCAGTCAACAAGTGATTCATGATTTAATGAAAATTCTTAATATGATATTATTTTGTCTTTTTCCTTAAAAGTATAAAGTATTTATATTTTTTTATTGCAGATTTAAAATTTTCATTATTAAGAAATATAATTTTGTATTGTCAAAACTTATTTTCATTGTGTATATATAGTAAAAAATATATATTTTATTTTTAGTTTTTAACCTTATTAAGTTATGACATTATATTTTGTAATTGTTAATAGAGATTCAACTACGATTAAAAAAAAACTATTTGTAATTTATAGTAAAAGAAAAATACCAGTGTTATATTCATTTTAATGCTCTATAAAATTGATTGAAAACAAAAATATGTTAAAACTTGTTGATTATTAATAATATGTTTGACAAATTTAAAGTAATAATAAGGAATGTTAGAAAGAGTGTGATTGAGTGAATAGTAGTATTAATGGGCACGTGATACTAAAAAGATGATAAATGTCCTAAACTTTCTGTGTAGAAGTTGGGTTAGGTTAAAATGATATTGAGACATCCATTTTCTTGCTTGTTTGCTCCAAACACCTTAGTGAGTTGCTTGTAAAGATGAAATGTCTTCTTCACCAAAAAACACTGTGATTTTGATCTGAAAAAAGAGTGCACTCTTTCACAGTTCATTGGCTAAAACCTCACATTATGGCAGCCACTTTGACATTCCATTGTGGTCTTATTCTCAAGGAGCCATCAATAACATGAATTCCGTGCATGAATTATATGTGTCAACTTTTTTTGAGTTGAAGCAATGGATGGCTAGATTAGTAGTTCCACCACATACAAATGCTGTGGAAACTGATACTAATTATTGTGACCCTTTTACTATAAACGTTCTTGAGTTTGATTTGGGTCAAATGCTCAATAATATAAGTTTAGAAGACTAGGTTTGCCAAACTTTTTCAAGATTTTGGAGAATGTTTATCTACTTCAAAAAATTGGTGACTATATATATATATATATATATATATATAGTTGTAGGGGTCAGAATATATACATGAATGTGGGGAAGTGGCTAAAGTCAGCGACATTTCTGAAGTGGGAATTAAACATTATTGGTGGCTTGTGCCATGCAATTCCTTCTTGAATGATTGTGAAGGAGAAGACAAGAGAAAAAAGAAAAAAAAGTAAGAAGCAACTAGAAAGTGATGAATGAGGTAGATTAGTTACTTTTAAACACAAGACTTTCATAATATCATCATGCATGCATTGTGCAAGTTTACTTGCTCCTGAGAAAAGTATATGATAGTTGTATCAGAAAAAGAAAAGTAGTTGATAAATGAGACATATATCTTGTTGTTTATGGGGCACATGTACCTAACCTATCAAAACACAAAAATAGTTGTGACTTGTGACAATTGAGATTTAGTTCTTTAAGTAACCAAATTGAAAGGCTCATTCTTTTAGCCCCCACCTGGTCAACCTCAGCTCTTGGATATTTATCAATTAAACACTCTTTTCTTTCAATAAAATAAATAAATTAAATGCCCTTTTGTTCTATGTAGCATATTGATGTAGTTAGTGACAGCTGAAATAGTTCTATGGAGCATAATTTTAAAATTCGCAATGACAAGTCCAATAAACAACAAACAATTCAATTGGAATTTGAAAGTTGCATCAAACCGGTCTTGCATCCATGTTCATGATTGTAGAACAATCACTAACCACTAAAGCAAAGAGTTTTATAAGCATATATGCAAAAAGTTGAATTCAAATTAACCTTCATGTGATATGTAATGTTATTGACTTTTTTTCTTGATAAGATGCAAAATTTGAATTCATATATGTTTCTCTGCTTTTTCTCTTTGGTCCTTTATCATGACAGAAGAATATGACCATGAACACTATCTTTACTCAATAAGATTCTTATAAACAAGCCTAAAATAAAAGGTACACTGTTCTTTATTTGTACTCTTTAATATTGTCCCTGGTATCCTTACTCGAAAGTTGGGGCACGAGGGAAATGAATTTGAAGCTTGGAAACAGAGGAAAGAAAAACATAAAGAAAGAGTGGTGATTTATTTACAGTGACACTACACTACTACTCTCAATGAATATTCCTGCTACTATGTAGCTGCACAATGTTGTTGTTATTGGTCGCAGAGTTTATCTGGTTTCTGATCGACATGATATGTCGTTGTACTGTAACAATTTTCAACCCATTGGCTAAGAGCACAGAAACTCAGTTCCGATTCTGCACAAGTTCTGCCATTTGCTACACCACACGATATGTTATGTCAATGTATTTTAGTGCAACATCTTAGTTTGTGACGTTGCATTTCCTTTTTTAGTTGATAGATCTTATTTTATTTTGTAATAGATTTTAAGTTTATTTTTTTTATAGATTTTACATTGACTTAAATAATTTAATTTTGGTTCATATAATTATTAAAAATTCAAATATCAAATAAAAATATAAATATTATTCTAAATTAAAAAATAAATTAACTTTAATATTAGTTATTAATTAAAATTAAATTAAAACATTATATAAATGAAAATAAATTTGTACAAGATATAATTACCATTCACTCTGTATCTTTTATTTAAATTTTGTATAACGTTTTTTATCTATAAATTAAAATCAGAATTTTTCTTTTCTTTCTAAATCACATCTCTATTTATTAATTACTTTGAACTTTTCAAAGTCATAATTAATTTTTCCCATTAAAATTTTAATTAATTAAATGTTTTCTTTTATAAAATAATAAAAATTTAAAATTTTGGATGTAGAGTAATGATTTATTTTAAAAAAATATCTTAATTATTTATTGAGAATAAGATAAAAAACTATTAAGTCGTGTATTATCTTGAAAGAAATCTTATTTTGTTTTTCATATATAATTTTTTTAATGCGATATATTTTAAGTCAAGTTGAGGAGAAAATTGTGTTTCAACATAGTTGAAAAGAGTCTATAGATAATAAGATCTAATAATAATTTATTTGATCGGTTAATGGATTAAATTTTGAACAAGATATCTTAGAACATTTAAGATCTATAATATTCCCTATTAATATGGGGTAAATCTTTATTATTGATTTTGAGGAGTAAATAATATATTATTAATAAATAAATATAAAAAAATAAAAGAAGATAAAAAGATGAACAAATAAAATTATAAATATACAATTATTAAGTTTAAGAGATTAAAATCATAAATATATATAAAAATTATAAAAACTTTGAAAGATATGATTCAGCTCGAGTTCTTAGAAGATCCACTACTAACTACCTTAATAAATAAGTCTTCCTATTTATTGATAAGTTAAAGTTAATTATCTTTAGATAAATATATTTTTGATGCTATAACGACCTTAGAAATCGCTACTATAATGATGTCTTCGCAAAATAGTAAACAAGTAAATAACGACATCTATCTTACATTATATTACTGTAATTGTAACATAGATTGAAATTCGGTTCACTAACGGAACCTCAAAATATAGTAACATAATTTATTTATATATTATACATGTAAAAGTAGCTCCTCGAAACTATCCCACTCAACTATCCTTGTTGTCACTAGTAGTCATATCTCCATCTCTCAACTCTTTATCTGCTCCCATATAAAAGTGATCATCGCGATCCCATCCACATGGAAAAATAGGGGTAAGTATTAAATCATTCGATATAATAAAATAGATATAGAAGTAATAATTATATATTATGATTAATTACGAAATCATCAACATACTAAGACACCTTCGGAAGTATACCTTAACTATGTTTGAACTCAGAGGCTATCATCTGTGGGCACATTGTGATCGGCACCCGCAGTACCATTCTGACCACCCTCCACACAGAGTAGGATTACTGGCAGCCTTCATCACTCATACTGGAGTACCCCTCCGAGCGCGCCACCAGTCATCCCCCATCGACTTCTCACCATCTGATCTCGTAGTCTACCTGACCTGACCAATCAGTAAAGTCTAGGACCTCATTCAGAATTCTCCGACATAGTTATTACACTAAAGTACTCTGTACCACCCCGGGTACCATTCAAACACAACAAAAATCATTCACATTTGTCAAATTCTGAACCACCTATCCTCACGGCTCATTCAAGTCAATAATTAATAGTACTTGACTGATTATGGACACCAACCCTCCAGCTCAGCCAATACATAACATCTCATGACTGATTATGGGCATCAGCCCTTAGACTCAGTCTGACTCACACACGTTACAACACACTACATAATCTTTAAAACAGTTACATTCATTCTATATTTTAAATATAAATATATATATATATATATATATATATATATATATATTCTTCTTCTTCTTCTTCTTTTTTCTGAAATCACTTTCGAAATCATTTCCAAAATCTTTTTCAAAATCATTTCTGAAATCTTTTTCAAAATCATTAAATTACTATTTTGCCCTTAATCTTTTCTGAAAATTCCATGTATGTCCCTAAATG